ACGAGGCTTGGTAGCACCTTTCCCTCACTCTGGAAATGGCCCAGCGATCTCAGGGGAGGAAGACTCCTCAGCATGTACATGGGTTGAGGCTGTCGAGAAGAGACCCAGACAGCTCTGGGGCCTGCCTGCAGCGCACCCTGCCCTTTCCTGACCATGTGTTATGTCTTTCTCATGACAGATCTGATCCTTTCCGCGCCTCACTGCCTCCGTGCCCATCTCTTCTCTGCTTAGCGCCGCTATCCCCCTCCTGACTTCAGCGTGCCCAGGGCTTTGGCTTCTTGGCTCCTTGAGGCCCAGCCGCACCTCCTGGCCCATCACTACCCATCTCTGTGATGACTGGCCAACTCCGTACATGCGCTTTGTTACCAATTCTCAGATGTAATCTGACTGGCGAGGCTTATTGTTTTGTATGGAGTCATGGACTGCTGGACAGCTTCTGGACACTTGTTCCTCAACCAGGTGAATCTGTCTGGTGGGAAGGGGCATTGTCCTGTGGCACAAATAGGGTGACAGCTGGGACAAGGTTGGGGCAGTTTTGTTTTTGTAGAGGGCTGGATAAAGATGAGTAACTCAAGTCCTTAAGCAAAAATCCCCAGTCAGTGTGCACCCTTCTCCCTGCGGAATCCTACACACCTGGGGGCTTCCCTTGTCTGAGAAAAGTAGCACTGTTCCGAGCAAGGTGAGGAGAGTTTCCAGGGGCTTGAGGTCGGCTCTTCATCACCCTTTCTGCCCTCGTACCCCCACCCCCACGCCCCAAACCCCACCTTTCCAAAGGCAAGTGAACTGGACAATCACATTCCTCTAGGAGGGAGTCTGGGCTACAGACCTCCCAGTGATCAGGCCATCCCAGAAGCTGGGGCTCCTCCCAGCTGCAGCGCACACCTATGTCTAAGGTCTCAGGCCAAGATGCCTCCACACCTGGCGTCTGCACACTGTGAAGGAGAAGCTCTGGGGAGTTGTGGCTGAGAAGTCATTTCAAACCTTTCAGTGGGACTCACTGAAGGCTTTCTGTGGGGAACTGATCTAATCAGACTCACCTATCTGACACACCCCACTGACTGTGGCATGTGGAGAACACCTGACATGGAGGTGGGGGCAGTGGGGGGTGGGTTGGGGCGATCCTGGATGGACGGGCCCCGGGAACAGCTTCCAAGGTCGTTCCCCAGGTGGGACTGCCAGGATGTAAGAAGGTGGGGCCTGAGGAGCAGTTTGAGCCCTTGGGTGAGGACGTTGCTGGTCACTGCGAGGGATCTGGAGGATGGGTGGGCCGTTTTCCACACGTCAGTTGACGGTGCCTGAGAGCTCGCCGCCTTACTGCTCAGAGCCTGTCGTCGGGGCTGGAGCTGGGCCTGGAGCTCAGGGGAGCAGTCTCGGTGGAGATGAGGATTTGGATGTCCCTGGTGTCCTGGTGGCAGTGAGGTCATCAGACAGGCAGGAGGAGGCCCACAGACAAGCTTTTGGAAGTGATCCTGGCAAGCGCAGTGGGGAAAGGAGACAGGGCTGGGAGGAAGGCCAGTAAAGGGTGCCCTGAAGGGGACAACTGGAGCCCGGTCCACCTGGGACTCGCTGAGAGGGTGGGGCCTCCTGCCACCAGTTGTTCCACTGAGGGGCAAGGAGCCCCCTCCCAGGAGCTGGCTGCTCCCTGAGGACTAAGTGCCCTGGCACTTTGCCCTTGTCCAGGCACAGGCCCGTGCACACGTCTGGGCCTGGAAAGGGCCTCCGGCCAGAGGCAGGGTGTGGAGGCGCTGCAGGGAATGTGCTGGAGCTCTTGGCAGTGACTTTTCGGCTGGCTGGGGCATGGCCAGGGCACCGGGGGCTTCATCCATTGTACCAACAATAGTGTCTGCCGTCCAACGGGGATCAAGGGGAGGTGCCCCAGGAGAGATGTAACCCGGGGGCGGGCCTGGCTTGGGCTTGGGGGTCGAAGTATGGAACTGAGTTTCGGGGATGCTGTCCCATAGAGCTTATCAGAGCCTTTTCTAGTAGCAGTGACATTAGGAAACAAAGTTGTTTAATGTGCAAATCATTAAGCAAAATGATGATCTCACTCCGGGTGTTTAGAAGGCCCCTAACCAGCTGCTAATTAGGTTTCAGCAGCTGTGGGAAATGCAGCCAGATGAGGCGGGGTAAAGATGAAGCTGGGTGTGGGCTGGGACCACCTTGTCCTCCTCTCTCTATCCTGTGCTGGACCACCTTCCGTGCCCTACACCTGCTCAGCACCTCTGCTCTAGGGACTTCTAGCTTTTATACCTCTGGGCCATAGAAGAGTTTGGACTGGCCGCTTTCTGGAGGTCAGGGCTCTCAGGGGCTATGCCTGAGGCTCTCTTACCTACAGAGCCTGGGAATCTAGGCTATCTGGGCTCAGGATGATGGTGATTTGTGTCCCAGAAGGGAGCTTCCCTCTGGTCCTATGTTCACAGCCCCGGCTTAGCTTATAGGAGAGGATGCTTTCTGGGTTTGCTCCTCCGGCTGTGGATGTTGGAATGAGTTCTTGCAGAATGCATGTGATTTCAGGGTAAAGATGTATGGAGTCTGTGGCGTGTGGGTACACAGGTAGCAATGAGCCCAGGAACAAGTGCCTCCAGGCAGGTGGGTGTTAGTAAGGGGGCGGGGGTCCAGGTGGGGTGAGGCCTAGCTGCTGACAGGCCTGGCAAAGTGTGAGTGTGGGTCAGCACAAAGATGTGACGTCGGAGACAGCAACTGGGTGTCCCAGGGTCACTAGATGACACAGCAATAAGAAATATAAGAGCATGCACCATGCACCCATTTTTTACATACATTTTATCATTTCATTTTTATAACAATCTCATCAAATATATACTACCACTGCCTTCACTTTTTATGAGAAACTGAGGAAATGAGAAGTCAAGGTCATCCAGGTCGTAAGTGGCAGGGCTGGGGGTTGAACTCGGGTCAGATCCATACTCTTAGTCCTTTTGCTCTACAGTGAAGGGTAGGTGGGCCCATGGGCCATTCTGGATTCTTCCCACTGGGAGTGGAGCTTGGTGTGAACAGGCAGGGCAGTAGGAGTGGGTGCTGCTGGAGAGGGAGGCATGAGCCAGTGTAGGGGCCAAGGCAGGGATAAGTGGACTGAGGCTGGTGCCAGGCACTAGTTCTCCAGCTTGAGTGGGCATCCTACTCACCTGGAGGATGTGTTATAACACAGATTGTTGGGCCCCAACTCAACATGGTATCTAATTCAGGTGGTCTGGATGGGGGCAAGGTGCCTGAGAATTTGCATTTCCAACAAGCTCCCCAGTCATGATATCACTCAGGCTGCTCCTGGTATCGGGCCTTCCCCGCCTGTGGGTGATTACGAAGAATGCAATTGGTGGCTGAGGGGTGAAGAAACCAGTAGGGACAGAGTGAATTGAACAGGGGTTGCATTTAGACCTACAGGATGGTGTGACAGCTATGGGCAGATGTGTGAGTCTGGAAATGAGAAGAGAAGTAAACATGGGGGAGGGGTGTATGACTCCTGGATTCCAGACCTTCAGGAAGGCAGTGCCTACAGCTCTGTAGCTGCCTCTTGAGACCTGGGGGTTCCTGCTTCCAGGTTGACCCCTCCCACGTGGTGACCATGAGCAGGTCTGGGCACCATCCAGACAGAAGCAGGGCCACTTTGGGGAGTCTAGGGAAATCAACATAGGCGTCTATGATGAACGGTGGGCTAGGAAACCCCTGGTGGCCCCTTCGGGAAATTGTATAGGGTGCTGGATATGTAAAGGGGGCCAAGAGAGGAGGTCCCTCCTCCCTCAGGGTCCCACAGGTGCAGGGGGTTTCTGCTATGCCCATTAGTTTAACCATACATTACTGGCACAACATAAATACATACCTGGGCTGGAAGGCCCCTGAGAACTTGAAGGGGTGGCTGGGGCTGAAACCTGTCCAGGAAGGATCACTTCTTTCTAGTTAGATCCTGTCTGTTATTGCTGCTCTGCTCTGAGCCAGAGAGCTGACCACGGCAAGCCCAGAAATGTATCGGCATGAAATCTTCCCCCAAAGTTCCTGGGGGGACAGAAGGTTGGGCAGGGGCTCCACCCTGAGGGCCACAGGCCCCTGAGGCTGCATTCAGGGGGGACAACTTGGAGTCGTAGCTGGTGTGAGAGTGGCCACTCCCTGATGGAGTCATTCCCGGATGCCTGCTGACAAATGCACTCCTTGAAGCTAGTGGTTTGGCCTCATTGGGGCGCCTTCCCCCAAAGGTCCAATCCAAACATGGGCTCCGCCGGGCCAGTGACACGGAAGGCAGAGAGGTCAGCTCAGAAGGTGATGGCGACTGGTTTGGGGGACTCCAAAATGGGAATCTTGACCGGTTTTCTCAAAGGACATAGGGTGACCCTGGGGACTTATTAGGAAGAAGTCTTGCATTGGTGAGAAAAAGGCCAGAAGGTTGCTTTGAGGATTTGTTGGTCGTTGTTCCATCACAATATATCTTCCCCTTCTTTGGGGACAGCAAGGGCCGCCCCTGAGGATTTCATTGGGAAGTCTTACCCCATCCACCCCCCAGCCTTAGCCTTGCCCCTTCAGATTCTTTCTGTCTCTGCAACTTGAAGCATTTTGAAAAGGGGCATGATGTGAGTCCCTTGAGCGTGCCAACATGGCCTTTTTTTGACTCGGTGTAAATTGAAGAGTGCAGCATTCTCTGGAGAAGGGTTCTCGAGCTGGAAACCCCAGCTTCAGAACTGTGTAGACCTAGCTGGAGGGTCTGTGGAGGAACAAGAGCTGCCCGTTTTGATATTTGGGTTCAGTAAAAGGTTCTGTGATCTTTTGGCAAGTTGCTTTCTGACCTTCTCTTGCGTTTCTCCGACACTGAAGATGTGGTTCTTTGGGAGAGGCAGAGAGAAAAGCCCTGGCCCTCACAGTGGAAGGGGTTTCAAAGCCTTCCTCAGGATGTGAGGCACAAAAGGACGACAGACACATCTCTGGCTCTGAGGATACCAGCTTCAGAAGAGCCAGGCACACATCTCGATAGAGCACCAAGTGACAAGACCTTTTTCTTAAGCAATAGTATTTTATTGTGAGTTATAAATAGCTTTCACTCGTCCCCTATTTACAGTTGCAAAATAGTTTAGGATATGACACCCTCACCCGCCATTCAGCATCTTTCTATAAACTCCATGAAAATTGAATAGGAAATAAAAAGCTCTTTTCGGGCCCATAGACCTGGCTCCCCCAGACTCTGAACAATGCACCCGAGGACAGCAGGCAGCCTTGCAGCAGGTGCTACACAGTAGCAAAGGGGCGGGCGGGAGGCCGCTCCGGGAGCATCAGGACGCTAGGCTCCGCAGCACGTTGGTGATGCTCCAGTGCTGCCCAGAACACTTCTGCAGCACCAGCTGGAAGCCAAACTCCATGTCGCTGTTCTCCTGCAGCTCCAGGCAGCGCTTGGACTTGCGGTTCTGAATGGGGCCTCCCTGGGAGCGAGGGCAGAGAACAGGGTCAGAGGGGCACAGAGGCAATGCTGGAAGATTCGGGGAACCTCAGGTCCGGAGGCTGGGCACAGGTGATGATTCTTTGCCAGGACAAAGAGTGCTACCTGGCTGGGGTGTGTGTACTGCTCTGTTCTCATAGCTTCTACCTTGGGAGCCCTGTTGACACTGTCAGGAAATGTTGGATTGCTGACTGCAAGGCTGTCAGTTCAAACTGACCAGTGGCTCCTTGGGAGAAAGATGAGGCTGTCTGCTCCAGTAAAGATTACAGCCTCTTAACCTCTGTATAGGGTCTCTCTGAGTTGGAACCCACTCAACAGCAGTGGGGTTACCTTGGAAGGTAGACCCTACTCCCATTGACTGGGGCCTTGCTCTGGAAAGCCTTGTTCCATAATCAATTTGAGCATCATCAGAGGTAAAGAGACCTCCTGCTTCCAGGGCCCAAACTCAGTGGCTAAATTGACAGTGTCCAAGAGCCTGGGTCTGGTTCAGGTCAGCACTGATGACACCAGAGACCCAGTTCTCATCTGCTCCTGTTGAAGTATACATTCCTGTGAGCCGATCGTTCCACTCATAGGCAAATGCAGACCTAGCAGAAATGTGTGCACAGATGCATTGAACACATGACTTATTTGAAAGGTTGTGTGCAAAAGCGCTGATCTGGAATCAACCCAAACCAGTGTCAATAATAGAATGAAGAAATCACTATGCCATGTTCAATATTCTTATGCTAGAATACTATACAGGAATGGAACACACAAACAAGAGCTCCACTCAACAAGGATGAGTCTCATAAACATAATGCTAGCAAAAGAAGGCACTTGGAATCACACACTCACACACATATTGCTTGTATCTATGTATTTACCCACCTTGAATTCTGTAATTGTATAAACTTACCACACAGGCAAAAGAAAACATGGGGGTTTTGGGTTTCCTTTGTGGAAAAGGGAAATGATTGGTGGGTGGAGGAGGAGGTCTGGTAGTGTCCTCTCTCTTGACTTGGGTGGGGGCATTTGCTATGTTCTCAGTCATTGAATGGAGCATTTCTGGATATGTCTGTCATTTTTTAATGAAAAATCTAAAGCCCAAACCCCAACTCTATTAAAAAGGGCTTTGAGCAACAAGTGAAGGGGGCGGAGATGGGGAGGCGGGGTGGTAAATGGGGTGCATGTAATTACATGCTTAGAATTGGGATTCCAGTGACTATAGCAAGCCCCTCCCCAGCACCCAAGCCCAGCCCGTCTGGGTAAGAGTGTGGACTGGCTTGTGCCTCTCCAATAGCAGAGACAATGCGTCATGGAGAAGCAGGAACATTGAGGATCACAGGGACAATCAGACATCAGAAGACCTGGAGTGACCACTGGACGAGGACTCAGTAAGGACTCTGGGGTCCCCATATTGGAAGAGATTGAGGGCCAACCTCGTCTTGGGGGTGATTGGCCTCCACAGTTCACACCTAGAAACCAAGAACTCCTGAGTAAGCACTTTGTTCCCTGAGCTGCTTCACCTTTGAACATTCTCCTCCCATTAGACTTAATTCCTTGTCTTGGGGGCCGAAGGGGTGGTAGCCACAAGGTGTCCTAGACCTTCCCCTTGGCTTCCACACTCAGGTCTGCTCCTGCTACTCTGTCCTCCTCTCCCTTCAACAGGGACAATGATGATCATGCCCCTTCCCCCCCCCCACCCATGTCTGTGCTTCTCCAAGTTAGACACCTCAGTCCTTTCCACTCTGGGACAACTGTGTCCTTCTGTCGCCCTAGTTTGCTCCAGCTGCTTTGTGTCACTTAGAATTGACCACAGGGAAGAGGCCCGTCACATACACTGAATAAGAGGCGCCTTCCTACTGTCACACGTAGCCTGTACTTTGGTGGCCACACGGTGTTCTTGAACACCTTGGGATTGACTGCGAAGGACACTTACAAGGTGTCCTCTCAGATGTTGCAGCTCACCTTGGGGCCTCACACTGTCCCTCAAACATAGCCTTTGGGATCCATAGACCTCACTTTTGACCTTTGCCCCCAGTCAGCTCACCTGGATTTCTATAGCTCCTAGGTGAAGTCTTGCAGCTTCCAAACGGTCACCACCCTCATAATGGACTGTGTCCCTGGTGCTTTTTTAGGGGAAGCTGGCTGTCAGCCCCCTTCCAACTGCCCTGCCCGTGCAGCAGTATGTCCTCCCCCTGATCTTAGGAGCAGTTCTAACACACCGGAGCTCACCGCGAGTTGGCTTGGCACACTAGCATTTCCGACAGTGGGGCCCAAAGGGAAGTGTGTGGAACTAGACCCCCAAGACCGGGCTGCTTCTCTGAGTATTATCGGTGTGGCCATAAGAAAACCTCTCCACACGTCTCCTTTCTTTGCCTCTAGGTTCAGCTGATAACCCCTGTCTTGACCATTAGGAGGACGGGCGGAAGGATGCCGGGAAGTCTCTTCTACTATCAGACAACAAATGGACACGAGGCTGCAGGATTTGAGTGTCAGGTTGGGGCTCTAGGGAAAAGTGCATGGCACACAGATGGATCCAGGTGACCGGATCAATCACCCACCCATCACTCCCTTAAAGATTCTGATGGCCCTGTATCATCACGGATCGGGCTGCCTTGCCAACAGCAGGTTGCTTCCCAGTCCCTAGAAGCTTAAGAGAAACATGAGCAAAGACAGAAAAAGCTGTGGTCCCCTCCTTTCCACGCCCCCCCCCCCAAGGAAGAGTCTAACCCCGATGTGTTCTTCCTCTTAGGTGGGGGCGGGGAGAGGTGGCACCTTGCCAAGGGCTGAGAGAGGGAAGTGGGAGAGGAGGTCTCTGAGAAGTGGCCTCATTTGAGAGATGCAAGTCTCTTTCCCAGGCCCTGCCATTCCCTCAGCAGCCTAGAGGCAGGAAGTGTGGTGACCTTGGGCAGAAACAGCCCCCTGTGGCCTCCTGGAAGGGTGGGTGGAGGGAAGTAGGGTAGTGGGTCAAGAGCAGGGTTTGTGCCGAGGGAGGGAGGATGGTTGGGGGAGGTGGAGCGGAGACTGGGACTCAGGCTCTGAGGTCTCTGTGGGCCTTGGCTGAGCAGATCCTAGCACACTCCCTGGGACCCATCTGGGGTGTGCAGAGAGGAGCTGGTCCACCCTTTGGTGAGGAGCCAGCCTGGATCCCTTACACTGTACCCTTCCTGCTCTCCATCTCAGACCTCGGCCCTCTCCCTGAGCATACTGGGTACTCTCCCGCTCCGTGAGCACACTCCCTCGACCTGAATTGTGAAGAAACCTTCCTTCTGTGTGTGCATTCAGTGCCTCCTGGTGAGTCTGGCATTCTTGGGAGAAGCCTGGTGTTATCATTACCAGCTACCTCTACCTACAAGGCCGTACCCAAGACACAAGTGGTAAGCAAACCCCAAACGCCACGCCAGTGGCCCTCTAGTTGTTTTTGACTCACAGTGACCCCACACCCTGTGTGTGCAGAGCAGAGCTGAGCTTCCAGCAGCAGCCCCCCAGGCCTGATTCCGATGCAACCCTGCGGGGCTTGGAACCACCAAGTGTTCCTGTCAGTAGCTGAGAGCACTTAGCCATGTGTACCAAAGAGCAGCAGCTAACACTTTGTGTACCAGAGACCTTGTACTGTATTCCATTCCCATGAAGTCGATTCTGACCCACAGTGGCCTTATAGGACAGAATATAGCTGCCCCCCTTGGGCTTCCATGGTTGTCCATCTTCATGGGAGCAGACAGTCTTCCTCCTATGGAGTGGTTGGTCGTTCTAACTGCTGACTTAGTGATTAGCTTCCCAATACATAACCCACTGTGACAGCAGGGGGACCTTACTGTCTAGCTAGTCTGTCCCGATAAGTGGGTGACTGATGATCCCCATTTAGAGAAATGAAGACTGAGGTTTAGGGAGGTTGGGAGACTTGACCAAGGTCACATGGTCAGTAAACCGGAGACCTATGGAGTCTACCGGCTTCTCTGAAAGAAGGCAAGAAGAGGCTCTGGTCCTAGTACCCAGGGCCCAGGCAGCAGCCTCTGGGCAGGCCCATGCCGCTGGGCACTGGAGTTTGCTGCGGCTCCTCCTGGCCAGCCCCTCTCTCAGTGGAGGGCACCTTCTTGTGGCTTACCAGCCCAGCCATCTAAATTATTTGTGTAATCCTTACAACTACAGGAACTGGAAACACACAATACTTTTAATTAAAGAATTTAAATAAGGGCAATTAAACCTGGCAGGAGAGACGCGCAGCACACAGAGAGCTTAATTGGAATAGAAACCAAATTAAGTACGGAAAGAGCATTTTTTAAAAATTGAAAACTGAATGTATAGAATTAAGAAGGCTAATAATAATTCCTCAAACCGGTTCCTATACCTTCTCTGCCACCCCTCTACCTCCCCTCACCCCCAATTCCAATTCCTCTGGGTCTCTGGAGTAGTGACTGGAACGGACACTAGCGGTTGGATGAGCTGGAGCAAAGAACGCAGGATTCTGCACTAGCTGTGTGATCCTGGCGTGGAGGCTGGCCTTCTCTGGGCTAGTCTCCCTAGCTGCGAAAAGAGGAGCACGCTGGGCATGGCAATCCATGCTGCAACATGCAGCACCTAGCCTGTGCACATAGAGGCTCACACACCTCCCTGCCTCAGCTTCCCAAGGGATGGAACTGCTGGCACCAGGCAAACGCTGCTTTCCTGCGGGGTGTAGGGTGGGTCTGTGGATTAACAGGCATCTGATTTACCTGGAAGGCTTGTTCAAACAAAGTTGCTGGGCCCTGCCTACACTTCCCTTTCAGTAGGTCATTGGGGAGGGGGGGCGGGGAGGGGAAGTGGGGACACTGATAACCTGTTCTGTTAAGTTTCTAGGGGCTGCCGCCCCAGGGGTGGGCAAGTACCACCCTGCGAGCACCAAAGGAGGAGCTGTATTTAACCGAGCCATCACCGCTGTCAGGTAAGGCTGGGCCTGGCTGAATGCACCCTCTCCGTCCGCAGGGCACGGCAGGAGCTTCTGGGTCGCAGACCGGCTGG